TATCAATTATTTCATAGTCTTCCAAAGATGAAACAGATCCTGAAAATATTTTTGTACCATCATTTATACCATCAGTTTTCGACTTTTTCGCTCCAAAGTCCAAAGATGGTGAAATGGTGCGTTTGCGTTTATTAGAAACTGACTGATCAACAACACTAGTAATTTTCATGGCTGATATATCTGCGCAACTCGATGCGTAAACATTATTTTTCAAATCACTTTTCTTTCTTTCAGCACCAGAGTCTTCTAAAAGCGAAACGGAATTGCTAGTTTCCGGCATGCCCTCATAAATTAAATTGCTGCTTTCTGAACGTGTATCGATGTATTCTTCAGTCTCATTCTCTGCTGGAACAATGTTACTGATATCCAATTCATTTTCACTTGATAAGTTTGCATCATTTATTTCGGATTTAATATTATCCGAACTTTTAACAAAACCATTTATATTTATATTTTCACCACAGTCCTCTAAAGATGACGTAGAGCGTTCACGTTCGTTGACAACTGATTCAAAACTTATATCTGACGTGCTTCCTTCTGAACATGAATCAGAAAGCGATTTACTTTTATGAGGTACAAACCAAACATTTTCACAACTGATTTTAGATTGGTCTTCCCCAGACATTACGAATAAGCCTAGCTGCGTTTGTTCTAACCCTTCTGGTTTTTGAACATATTGAACATTATACATACCACCATCTCCCGAAACTTGTTCTGAACTTATATCTGGCATGACATCTTCTGAAGATATATCAGCAAAAGATTTAGTTTCATGAGGTATAACCCAAGCACCTTCACAACTGATTTTAGATTGATCTGAACTTATATCTGAGATGATACTTTCTGAAGATATATCAGCAAAAGACTTGGTTTCATGAGGTACAACCCAAACACCTTCACAACTGATTTTACATTGATCTGAACTCATATCTGAAATGAGATTTTCTGAAGATATATCAGCAAAAGACTCGGTTTCATGAGGTATAACCCAAACACCTTCACGACTGATTTTAGATTGATCTGAACTTATATCTGAGATGACACCTTCTGAAGATATATCAGCAAAAGACTCGGTTTCGTGAGGTATAACCCAAACACTTTCACGACTGATTTTAGATTGATCTGAACTTATATCTGAGATGACACCTTCTGAAGATATATCAGCAAAAGACTCGGTTTCGTGAGGTATAACCCAAACACTTTCACGACTGATTTTAGATTGATCTGAACTTATATCTGACATGACACCTTCTGAACATATATCAGCAAAAGACTCGGTTTCGTGAGGTATAACCCAAATGCTTTCATGACTGATTTTAGATTGATGTGAAGTTATATCTGACATGACATTTTCTGAACATATATCAGCAAGAGATTTAGTTTCAAGAGGTATAATCCAAGCATCTTCACGACTGCTTTCAGATTGGCCTTTCACTGAAATTACAAAAAACAACATTGTACAGGTTGATCTAACACTTTCGATTTTTTAACGTATTTAAGATTGTACACACCATCATATTCCGAAACTTGTGGCTGCACAGTCAAGTCCACGTCAGCGTTTTTGATGTTTCCTTCACAACACGCAACTGAATCGTTAAAATCCTCAGTATCGCTTTCTGGAGCATATTCTATAATATCTGACTCGAAGAAATCCATTTCTTAACAGTTTTCAATACACAAAAAATTTTTTTTGATGCTTTCGTCTCTGAAGTTTTCAACAAACAAATGCTGCAATCTAATGCAAATTACTAAGCTGTCAGTATTCCTCACACATTCACAATAGATCGAAAAGACTTATGCACAATAGTGCAAGTTATACATAATAGCAAAGAATACTTTCCTTTGCTTTATAGTATAACTAAAAAAAATTATGTGTGCTTGTAAGTTTAAATAAATTGATCAAATTCTTAACTAAATTATTGATTAATGATTATTAATATTTAGTGAAAATAAAAAACAAATTAGTTAATATGATTTAACTATTAATTTGCAAGAAATTCTGCACTTTCGTTATATGAAATTATTGCATAGGTTAATAAATGTACAAAATATACATGATTATATAATATACGAAATATTTAATAAAAACAATTAATGTTTAAATATGCATGGCCATCTAAAAATGAACGTAATAGATAGAGAGATTACTTTGATATCAAATTAATGCTTTGTGGGCTTTGAATCCTTGCTTAAAATAATAAAAAAAAAACCTATATTTAAAATTTTGGTAATTAATTTTGTGGGAAATTTATTTTTAAGGGTTGCATTTGACATTTTTCCTTTAAATGAGCTGATTTATTGATAATGAGCTCATTAATATGAAAGATTTTGGTATGGTAAATATTCCTCATTAGTAACTATAAGAGCCATATTATGTAGAGTGTCTCGGTCATGGCTTGAGTAAAACTGTTGTTGTTTTCAATGCAAATTAAAAAATTGATATGTGATAGAAAAAACAATATGTCGGTTTAAATTCCGGCATGAGAGCCGGTGTATGGTATTAGTGTCTCGGCACTAATGCAAAACAGTATTATTTTATAATAAATTTCAGAATTTACGCATTTGATCTTACTATAATCGCTATAATCTTACTACAATCTTACTTTCCGATTTTACAGAAAGGCATAAAATTTTGTAAGTACTGTTAACAATTATTATAAGCTAATATAACAATGTATTTACATTATTACAGCTACTATGAGTTTTTTTTTGCTAGTTATTTTTGGTGGCAAATTGAAAGTGAGCAGATTTCAAATTAGGCACAACCAAAAAGTCCCAAAACATTGTAAAAATATCAAATTGGCAGTATTGACGTGATATTTTACGAAACATATATTTTCGGCTTAGTCCGAAAAAGCAAATTTTGCAGTGCCCAAGACGTACACAACATAGACCTTAAACGCAGTAATAGTCTTGCTGCACAAAATATCACCAGTCCTTTAAGTTAAATAATTATTTCAAATCGATTTTTATTCAAGCTCAATCTTATTTCACATATAGTAAAACATTTAATATTTGTGATATACAAATTGTATCTGAATTTAAACAGAAATTCAGTACAAATTTTTGACCAAAAAACAGATATAGGTATATATTATTTCAACTGATTCTTATACATACATGTGTGGGTGCATAAAGCTTTGCACTACAGAAAATATTAATATTTTTGTATTTATTATTTGAAAAGCATGTTTTTTTATATATTTTTTATATAAAATAACCTGCTATTTGAAAAAGCATAAATATTTTATTAAAAATATCTCAACCCGTAAACGTTAAAAATAAGCAACAAATATGAATCCGTCACATTAATACAATCAAAAATGCATTAAAAAAATGTTATGTAGTTCAGCGACGTCCACGATATGCACTTCAGTATTTGATATTCTGAAAAGGTAAAAATTTATAAATGAATTTCGAAAAATATTTGGATTATTCTGCTGTAGTCGATGATATGCGAAACTGCATCCGTAAATGTTGCATAATGAAATGCAGTTTTTTTTCATATATTTTTTTTTAATAAGCTACCAAAATATTCACCCGCACTCACGTTAAAGTGAAAAATATAGTAAAACCATCCGCATTTAATTTGTGCAATATCACTGTGTAATAATATTACTGTGTAGTAACCTTTCATTGTTTCAATATAATAAGTAAACGATATTGCACGTTTTATTCACAAATTCAGAAGAGCAGTCAAATGATATTTTTATTGAATTCGTTCGGTTTGAACGAATTTCGTATTGAATTATGTTTCCTTTTAAATTTGCTGTTAAATTATAATAATTTTAACAATACTAACGAGTTTGTTTTGATATTTATTTTATAAAAAATATGGAGTTTCTCATTCTCCATCTCTAGCCTTTATTACATCAAATACGTTATATTTGCACGTTTTATTCATATTAAAGTTTAGAGTAAGTAATATCAATAGATACTTAATATACTCAAGATATTGAGTAATATCTCAATATGTAGTTAAATGCAATGCATATGAAATTATGCTAAATAATTTATTCTTTAAGTACACTGTTTTGCAAGAATGATACTTAAGTACAGAAAAAAACGCAGCAGAGATGATTCAGGAACTTTACTTCATATATTTGTAACATCGTTTAATTTTATATGTAGCTCTTATGAACCAATGTAACATTTGTTTTTAATTCTTCTTAAAGAAAATAAGATTTAAAATTAAATTGGAGTCGCTACATACGTCGATAGCTGATTTTTTGATCAGCTTAGCAGAAGGTATCTTTGGCCCGATATTTTATTGTCATGAGTCATGATGTCAGTCAATGATCTCGCTTTGTCATTACTTTTTTTTATTTTGTATTATATAAAAACTTATTATTAATAAGTTTTTCATAATGAATTTAAAATCTAATATCTAGTTTATGCTCGCTTTGTTTTAATTTAAGAGAATTTTTATTCTCTGCTGCTTCGTGAATAACATTCACTAAAAGTTAGCCTGTTTTTTTCGTCTGTGCGTTTGCGTTCAAAATAGAACAAATATATACCTATAGGTCCTCCAAATATTAAAAGTTTAAATGCTTCGACATAAACAAAATTTTTCACTAATATGTTAAACTTTCTCATTGTATGTTTATAACAAATTTTTGGAAGTTTTCAAAAGTCTATATACTTGCACATAGTATTAGGTGGGTTAAATCGGCTAACACTAAAGCATACTTAGAAATATAGATATTAAGCCAGAAACACCAAAAAAACACTAAACTTTAAAAACACATATGACAAGTCTTAACAGGTTATAAAGGTTTTTTATAGCAATGTTATGTAGATAGTCCTACGACAAATGGTCACGAAAAATTTGCGATCTTTTTGGTCATGACAAACTGGCATGTTATACAGAAAGTCAAATCACAAATGTTAATTTCTTGATACATTTGATACAGTTTTGTATACCTAAATTTTAAACGAGAATATGCCTACAAATCCAGCAAAAAATATAAATATTTCTTCTTAAAAGACTTACTGCAGTTCTATCTGGTTACTGGTGTATAGGAAATCACACAGAAAAATTGCGACCTCTTTTTAACACTCACTGTAGATGTTGTGGAAACTTGCAAGAAACACTTAAGCTTTTTGTTTTTGGGTGCACAGATCTGGCCTGCAGAAAAAATTATTTTTTAAAGAAATACATCGATTAAGACAAAAGATCTATTAAATTATCTAAAATCGATACCATGGATTCAGTTTTTTTTCTTTTTATATCTTAAGGTTCTTCTTATAAATACTTTTTTGA